TTCATTGATGTTCGCGCGCATGCTCTTTCGTCTTTCCACTTTGGCTTGATATTCCTCGATATGAAGCACTGAGTTCTTGCGTTTAGGCAGGCTGTCCATTCCTAGCACTTTCCATGCTTTGGCCTTACTTGGGCCCCTGGCTAAACTGGCCTTTGATCGAGACGCCATTGCCGGTGTATTAACAAGCGGCGATATAGTGTCCTGCCACTCCTCTTCACCCAGTGCTGAAACCGGACTGAGAGACACATCCGTAGCAGTGCCCGTCGTACCCGTAGATCTGTTCCGGGAATGCGACAAGGTTGACGTCCGTTGGCATTGGCCGTCACAGTACGCCCTGGACGCTGGCGGCGGCCTTTTCTGCCTGGTAGCACTTACGGCACTGGTAGGTGTAGGGAGTTCCACAGGCAGATGGCGCTCTCGTTGCGCATCCTTTGAATCGACAGACAACAGTTCAATCGCCTTCTGCAAATCAATTCCCGACCCTGAATCGCACATTGCAAGGGCCTTCCTCGCTTTGGTCTCAGCAAATCCCAGTTGACGTACTAAGATATTCATTGCTTTGTCGACTGGATCCACAACGCCAGAAGCCAGGGCTGCGGGTGGCTCAGGTGCCCGGAAAGGAACCCGAGGCGCTGGACTGGCATAATCCATAGGAAATAGTGTTGCCCCAAGTTTGGTGCTCGCTGTCGAAGTCATTGAAAGCGAATAGTAAACTGTCGGATCGGTTGTAGGGGACGTCGGAAGTAAGTGGGATGCCCGGTTTGTTCTAGGAGCAGGATCGCAATCAGGGCGGATCTCTTGCCTAGCATTGGCAGGATCGCAGTCTGGACGTATCTCTAAACGCATCTCTGCAAGAGCATTTGTGGAGATCGGTCTCCTTTTCAGGCTTGTGGTATCAATCCGTAGTGATTGCGACTGAACGGTGGCGCGCGCAGAAGCCACGTTGGTCACTTGTTCGTCAAGTGATCTAGTTGGACGATGGACCGGGGCTCGAGGGACTGGGTGTTGTCCTGGCACATGTCGCATCGACATCCTTGCAGCCCTCCGAGTGGCATCTTCTAGCACCCTTTCTTGGTATACTTGTGCAATTGCCGTGGTCAGGAATGATGATCGACTTTGACCTGCTGGCGGAACGGGCCAGTTTGTTAACCCAAGCATCCTTGCCTGTTCGAACGAGCAGCTGGACAACGACAGAACGGTCTGGGGACCTAGAGCGAGCAGGTACGAGGTCCACTCAGTAAGATGTTGGGACTCTGAAGTTGTGTCTCGCAAGTGCCAGTTGTCAAAGACTCCGTATCGCTTGGCTTCTTGCTCTCGACCACGGAAACCTGACATCAGGATTTGCAAACACTGCCACATCTCATTCATATCTTCAAGTTCGTGGGTCGTAAGCCCATTTCCATTGCCGATAGCGAATCCGGCCCCGAGCTGTTTGTTGGAAGCCGCTCTAGTGCCGTTGAGCCAATCGACTTCCGTCTGTGCAGGGCCAGATTGACCGACTGTGTTTCCAAATAAAGTGCAGAACGTCCATATGCGCCACAACGCATCGTCGATTCGTGATTTTCTCTCATCATCTTGGCCCAAAAGACCAATCAGCGTGCTCTGCTTGCAACTCGAGCTGCAATGAGCTACAATGAACGCCTTCAACGCATCCAGGGTTCGACAGTCACGGCTATAGTCTTTCAAGAGAAAGTCGTTGGATCCTTTCAGAGCAAGGATACTCCGACGAAGCTCCCAAGCAGCTCGTGATGTTTTGAACATCAAATGGCTTACCAGCTTCGATTCATTCCTTTGAAAAGTCCGTAGAAAACCTTTGCTGATCATGGCAGTAGCCTGGAGATCTTGTGCGCTGTGAAGGCTACACATGATTCTGTAGATCACACGCTCAGCCGTGGTTGCTGTAATCGGACGACGATTCAGCTTCCGAGCCGCTTGAGTGGGGTTGGATGAAGAGGCGGCAGTTAATACAAGCTTCTGCATATCAACCGTATGTCGTCTGGACGCCGGCTTCAAGGAACGTCCGGGGTGCGGCACCTCCGTGTCAGATGCTGAACGATTCCTATGGTGTCCGTGGGCAGTAGTCCTCTCCGATGGGGCTTGCCGAGCTGATCTGTGCGACCAGGCTGGCAATTCTGATACAGCACCGCCGTCAGAGCCCCTTCTTGTAGAGGCCATCACGCCTGGTTGAGACGATATGCGCTGTACACTGGCAGAGGAACGCCTGATTGATCTCGGAAGAGCGGAGGGAAGCTCCACCGGTGGCTGACATAGAAGCAGATTTGGTGCCGAGGTGGAAGCTCCTTTGGTATTGCTTGGGCCCGGAGGAAGTGGTTTGTCCAGGTTTAGCGGAGCCGACACGACTCTTACTAGAGAGGAGTTGGCCCTGGCCGGTGAAGGCTGCGCGCTCACGGGAGATTCTGTGAGGTTGCCCAGAAATCCTTGCGTCGGTCGTTTGGGGATCGATATGGGCTTGAGTTTCGACGAAACCGTTCTCTGAACTGCAGATGGTGGCTCCTGGGTGTAGCTGGAGCTCGAAGACTGCCTGGTGACTAAGGGTGAGCAATCGCTATCCCTTTGGCTTGGCTGAGAATAGCAAGATGATGCTGTGGAATCATTCCTGGCGATGTTGACTTTGAGAAAGTCGACCTTGGTATCGAAAGTTTTTCTAGGTACGGTCGTCTGGGTCGGGGTGTTGGACTCGATAACCTTTATCAGGTCAGGGGACTGTATTACCGAACCTTGCACCTGGGCCTGGGGTATGTCGTGGATCTCCTTGTTCATAAACTCGTCAAATAGTTCTGCAAAAGATCGAGTGTCGACATGTGAAATATCGGGGAGGCGGTGGGCGAGGTTGTCGGAAGAAAGATCCGATGCATTATCAGAACCCTGTCGCTTGAAGAAGGAGAAGGACGAACGGTCCTTGCTTCCCAGGCGCAGAACCGATGTCATGTTGTCCTTGATATGAAGTCGTTTCAAATCTCGAGCTTCTGGGGGTTCTCTCCAATCAGGAGGGGCATCGAGGTCGTCCTACCAGTGGTTCGTTGCCAGGCCTCACCTCGCGCACACATTGCGCATGGATTCTGGAGAAGAATAAACAGACCAAGGTAACAATCAAGTTAAATTCCAATCTGCAACGTCGAGGGATGCTAGGGGAGTCGTGGTAACGCAGCGGCAAGTCGTAGATCTAATCGTCGTGCTATCGTATTGTCGGTGGTTGGGGCAGGGTTGGAGAAGGACTCTGGATTATAGCTAACTTGGCCCGCGGCAAGGCCTGGCGGGAGCTCAAAGGGGCCTAGCAATTGTCTGGGGCGTATCCTTGTGGCGCCAGCTAAAGATATCTCGCCAATGGGGGCGGAGTCGCGGCGCAGGTCTGATACTGGCCAATCTGCCTAGCAGCCAAAGGCGAGCTCGATGCGATTGGACCTGAGGTGAGGCTTGAACGCATGCAAGACGGTGGCGGCAGCAAACTGTCAGGCCATCACTGCATCTCCTGCTGAGCCTTTCGCCTTTCAGGTAAGGCCCGCTGGAAGAAGGGGAAGCTTGTTCGGGGCGGGTGGTGGCAGGGGACGCCAGTCTCAAGTCTCGAGGCACAAGGCCTCTGCACCAAGAATTATTCGCGAGATAACAGGCACTGGCCTTGTGGTTCTGGTCGCTCTGTGGGTTTCTGGGTTCCTGGCCCATGGTCATCCTGCTTTGATGGTGTGTCTCACATAGAGTAGGGTTTCTTGATGTTTCCACAATGCTCGGGGGCACTCGCAAGCCGACTGACGGGATCGTCGCACGGGGAACAAGGTGATTCGCGACGACTCAGCCAGGCATGCATGCTGAAAAGGAGCTGGACGGTGAATTCTCAAACCTGTTTGTGGGCTTGTGCCGGCGTCCTCTTTCCGGGCAGATCCAAATGACTTCATCACCATCCACGTGTCCCCAGTCATCTCTTTTTGTCCGGCAGATGTGGTAGCGAGATGGCCTCGATCAAAACAGGGTAGAGGATGTTCGTTCTTGGACATTTCGGCTAATCCACTCCGTGTTTGCGGAGGGCTTGAAGCGGTGATTCTATGGCGCCACCCGATGGTCTGGCGCTGGGAGAGATGACCGAGCGAAAGGTCTGGGAGAAACGGCCTGTGGGGTCAGATGCCGGAAGGCAACGGGCTGGACTTGTGATATTGGATTGACAGTCCCATAATGGTTCGACTTGGGGCACCGAGAAAGGAGGTGTTAAAGGGGTGGCAACGCCAGCGATAAATTGGCCATGCAGGAGACGGAGCGGCTCGAATCAAGCCCGCAGCCTTCCTTGGACCGGTTTGAGATGATTTGGCACAAAAGAAAGTTGTTTTTGACAATAGTACGGTAGATTTGCGGTGGCCACATGCAAACAGTCAGGGTATCCTTGCAGGGTCTTTCTCATAGGTACGGAGTCGGTGCAGTGAGGTTTTGTACAACTTCCGGCCCAAATCCACATTCGTTATTCCAGATGCTATCCAAATCTTTTGCCCGTGGCCCCCAATTCCCCTTAGGCAGGCAAGTATCATCTCAGTCATCTCAGATGCCCTGCGGTTTAGGCTTTTCTGGCTTTGCTTTACGGGACAAAACGTCTTTCAACCGCCCGTCTATCTGCAACTTTGTTTGCTACGGAGATTTCCATCCCTTTGGCCCTCAATCAAGGCGGGCCGGCGAAGCATGAGTATCTTTGCGGCTGTGCCACAACGATGCTGGGACACTCCACGACTTCCAATCGGCTACATTCCCGTTCGTCGCGCGTATTTGGTTCCCTCGCCTGTCTCCAGTGAGGTTCGGTACTCCGTACAGATCCCAGGCAAAGCAAGCATTTCAGCCGACTATTGATGCCTGACCTCCGATTCTTCGCCAGCCGTACATAGGTAGCTCCCCTGGCTGTGGTGTCAAAGCAGAGCACGGGTCAGCGCCAGGCGGACAGTACCGAGTACGGGTTCGGTTCTTTGGCAGTATAAAATTTTCTCGCTTCACAACTCTGGCCAGGGTCAGGGTCTCTTCCTCCGCTTTGCCATGAGCTTTTTGTAGTGTGCCTTCTTGCCGCTTGTTTTGGTGTCTTGAATTTCGCTGTACTTTCGCTTAAACCGTCCAGTCTCCCTCTCGGTAGCCATTGCTTCCTCGACAAAGTTCTTGGATCGATCCTTTTTGTTGATTCTTGCGCTGAAAAACTCGGTAGGCCCTTCAATGACAGTCCCCGTCTGCGAGAACGTGGGCACTTTGCCTCTTCTGTTATTTTTCTTGTAGTGCCGGTGCGGATCGAGCACTGATCGCATTTCGATGAGTTGGAGGTCGCGCTTCAGTTGAGGAGTCAAGTCTGTCTTGGGCATGTCGAACCAGTCAGGACCTGCACTGGTCTGGTCATTCTGTTCCTTGTTAGCAAATGTGCAGACAACAACGAGAGCAGCAATAAATGAAGAGCCCAAAGGTACAGTCAGAGTAACTATGAATTTGAAAACTTTCATGGGTGCAGGGCAGGCCAGAATGGACTGCTGATCTGCGTCAAGAACATATGGGAATAGATTTCCTCATGCGAACCAGAATAATAAAATGCAAGAAAACCGCGTACCACTTTCTTGGATTTGTGAGGCGCTTCGACGGACTTGAGTCCGTCCGCCAGCAGGCTTTGCTGGTGCTCAAGGACCGCTTTGGCATTGGTCTCGGCGACACCCTGCTTGTCATTAATATACTTCGTTCGAACAAGGTTGCTGTGTAGTTTGGGAATTCTGCCACGAGAAGTCAGTCAGACAGACGCAGCCAGGTCAAAGGAGATGAGAGGCGTACAATTTCCTGGATGTCGTTGTTGGCTTGACAATCTCCAAACTGATCTCGTCTTCATTTGCAGAGTGTGACTTTCCCCGTAGACGAACCTCGGCCTGTGACAGAAGATCGTCTATTTGTTCGTCTGTCAAAATGCCGGTCTCCGTCATCTTGTCGGGACTGCATTTCTCCTAAAGGCATTGGAGATTTGATGTCGTGGTAGAAATCTTGGGCGAACAGGACCAAAAAAAAAATACTTCTCCCCAAAGAGAAGGTCTGCCGGGAGGATCCAATTACCCAACCATGGTGGAGTATTCTCAGCCTCGTCAGCTAGACAGCCTTCCTCGAGCAAAGAAGTATACTTAAATACTCGGCGCATTGCCGGCTCAATTTATTAAGATAATCGTTTTTATATGTCCAAGGCGTTTGTCCTTGTCATCGTCTCGGTCTGGCAACCCATGTCTGCGGACTTCATATCTATAGCCCATTCGTCCTTCCGTAGACTATGTCCTTTGCCTTCATGTCGTCCAGAATCCCAGCATATGATCTCCCGTCCTGTACAGGTTCGACCTCGCCGCTGCTGAAAGCACAATGCCCGACCCCAGCACTATTGTCCATGCCAGGAATGGCGCCCCATTGCACAGCCTTCAGTGAAGCATCGGTGTCCCAACTCGGCTGATGGCACGCTGCCGCAATAGCCGCACTACAACTCCCCACCAAGGGTATTGATGCATCATATTTCATCACCGTTCCAAGTCCCAGTGTGACCACAACCAGGAGCCCTCCCAGTACAAGCACGATAATCATGGCCATGGGAGAGAATCCGCATGTGGCAATAAAAGTAGGGTCAAGGAGACTTCCGTCTGCCCTATACTCCGCAACCACGGCCAAAAAGATGCTCTGCGAGATCACCCAGTGCAAGGCGCCGGACATAACCATCAAGGGCACGGCGACCTTGTAGGGTAACTGTAAGAAGTGCGTGCTTCTTTGACTTGCCTTTGGCTTCGATACTCTCAGTGGCTTTCTCTCGCTGGCAAATTGACTCCATTCGCGCGCTAACCACATACTTGTCAACACTCCGTTCAAGTTGAGGTATAAGAAGCTGAAGATTGTCTGTGGTAAGTTTGCAATGAGGATCGACGAGAGAATTCTCGACGTTGCAGAGTCGGCGGCCCCGATGGACCAACCGGTGATCACGCCCGCCTGAGTGACTTTACCAAAGCCAATCGAGCCAATGTTGAAGCCGTAGGATTTGATAGTTCGGGTTGCGATGGCGAGAAGGAAGGCCACCGCGATCAACGCCAGGGCGGTGAGGCCAGTGGTCAGTGACCACCGCGTGATGCTTGCAGATTCAAGCCCACGTTTTGTGCGCAGCCGGGCCACTCTGGGGCTCAATTGGCCCTCTCCCTTTTTGGCTCGAAGCGACCAGTGGCTCTTTGTCTTTATAGCCATGACCACATCGCTCTTGCTCAGCAAGCAGAGGCCTTTCGTCGACGTCTCATTTTCGTTCAGAAAACTTTCCACGGCATCTCCCACCGTGATCAAAGGGTTATCTTTCAAGCGAAATGCGACGAAGAGCATTATCACAATCTTGACAGCATTGCATGACAGAACAATTGCTATGATGGGAATGTTGCCGTTGTAGCTGCATTTCTCAGTGACCTGCTCAGAAAGACAATATTCGACGTCGTAATCGTAGGGGCGCCATTGAGAAGCGATGGCTTCAACTTTTGACACCCACGTTTCGCATGGCAGTATGTAGCCATGCGACCCGTACGGCATGTCAACCTTGGAATCCATATTGGGATCACTAGTGCAAATCCTGGGTATCATCAAGTCAGCCTCACGTGGGCGGGAAGCTTGCACTGGACTGGAAGATGGAGGTGAAGTTCGAAGAAGTAGCTTCTCACCAGTCGAAAGCCTGCACACTTCCCGACGTATAGAAGTCAACCTTCAATACGCTCTCGTTCGCCTGGCTCGTGCTGTTATTTGATAGCAAAATCAAGTTTCTTCGACTGGTTAGAAAAGTGGTGGCATAGGAATGGATGCACTCCTTCTTCTCCAGGCGTTCCCACGTCTCCGGATGAGTGAGAAGCGAAGACTGGATCTCCTGCTGGCTGGGCGGAACACTCGCACCTTTCCAGGGCACAAACGCTTTGCCGTCGATAAAGTCTTGTGTCACAAAGAATAAATTGTAGTCGTTTGCTTCAAGTGATTTGTAGAATGCCGAGTTGTACCTATTCCAGGTGATCAGGACTGATTGGTATCAACGGATTGGGGTTCCTTCCCCCAAGGCATACTTACATGAGATGCAAGGGGATGGACGACAGTCCCAGGGCCAACCAAAGAATCAACTTGTGGCTCGAGATACTCCTCATATTCCTCACACTCGGCACTCCTATGTCGAGATATACTCCCCTCGCATGGCTGCGCTTGACGTCCTCCCTGGTGGGGGCGCAGAGGCATTGCATGCAGTAATTGGAGCCGCCGAGTAGCAGAGTGCTGATCGTATTGATGGCCAGATGGATCCAGATGTCCAGGGATTCGACCTTGCCACAGTGACCGCTGTAGACTTCCACAAGGCTGGCACCTTGACCGCGCGCTGTAAGCCAGGACACCACCACAAGATTGATGAGAAAAGATACCACTCCAAGAAGCGCGGCTGTAATGGCACCGGTGCGCCATCCACTAAGCCCCTTTGGCAGGGTGAGGAAACGGTGTCTCAGAGACTTTCCTGAGAAGTATGACGGGTCTGTTCGAATAGGATCACTGTAATCGGCGATGAGGGGCGATTGATCTCTGGTCGCGGAGGTGTATGTCGTTGTGAAACTGGCTTTGGAAGCCAGGGTATGTTGGTCCAACTCGACCTCTGTGCTCTTGAGCTCGAGATAATCTGTACCTGCCCGCTTGTAGGCCCTCCGCGGTTCGAAAAAGTCCATTTTGAACACTTGCGACGCTTGATAACTTGGCTGGGGGTTCCTTGTTCAGATGCTCGACTGGTAGGGCCAGACTCAGTGTCCCGACTTCAACGCACGTGGTATTACCACTCTGCCAACAATATAGACCCGAGGATCGCACATGGCATAGTCGCTGGTAGCGTCTTCACGCGCTCTGAAAATGCACGATTCTCCCCAAATGCTCGTACAAAGACAGTCTCCGGATGGGTTCCGTCTTGCTTTTTGACCTTTTGTAGCGATGCCGGTCTTCCGGGATCTGATAGGGGTGCGGGCCCGAGGGCCATTGACAGCTAGGGCATATTGTCGTCATCTTACTGGTACGGGGTATATAGTAGGCGTTGTTGGTAAGAGTATTCCCGCATTCTGAGTGAGAGATCCCCCTCCACTAGGCCTTATGGCCAATCACTTGGCGCCATAAGGTTTCAGCCTCGCCTCGCATGGATTCAGCCACAATCCGTCCAATTTCGCTTATTGGCCTGATCTACGAGGTACAGGAAACAGGAAAACGGGTTCTGGAGTATCTCCCTTTCAGAACTATGATACTCAATACTCGCTCGATAGCATCTGACAAACCAGCTTGTAGTTGACAGCCGGTCATGTTCTAGATCCTCCGTCAGTTCTCAATGAACTATGGGCGTACATGATTTTTTCTCTCCCTCAATCCCCCACAGCGTATGAGACTATTCTGGGTGCAAGAGTCGCGCTTTCATCTCACTTGTTCTATCCTGACCGGTAGCCACGCCCCATGAACGACTGTCTCTTTCGACCAGTGAGGCCCCGACCCAGTGCTATTGGAGCGTCATGTATGCATTCAAAACCTTCTTCGAATCTGGGCTCAAGTCATTGACCACTCTGCCTATTCTGCCCCCGTGTCGCTGATCTGCTGCCTTGAGATAATGTCCCACCCATCGTCTCAGGTCCGTGACCTCGGGGAAAGGATCAACTGGTGGTGGTCGGATGGTGTTTAGCTGCGTAAATCCAACGCCAAAGCTGCTGTCGTCAACATCGACATCTGCGATCGCATCGTCCGCCTTGGGTGGGAGTGGGGGATCTTCAAGCAACTTGAGCAGCGCATTACACGTCAATGGCCAACCTTTGGGATAGCGCTCGACGAAAGCCTGGGAATCGGCAAGTGATTTTGTGAGAGAGATGGCGGCCATTTTCCGATCGAGAGGGCGAGCCAATTCCTGCGTCTTCGGCAGAATGATGCTCAGGTACAGCTGGCGGAAAACATCGTGCTGGACGCGATCCGTGGCAGCAACAAAGAAATCAGTCCCGAGACCTTTCTCCTGATGCGATGACACGAAATGATAGAACCTCACAAATCGTAACTGGAACGCTTGTGACTGCTTGCTTTGGAGTCGCGTAAGCATGATATTCAGAATATGCACCCAATATTGCTCAAGGGCGGATGGTGGAAAGGTTGAAATGGAAACTTCGAGCAGATCGAAGCCATAGCTTTCGTAGATTTTGGTCGACACCAGTTTCTGATATATTCCCAGTACACTCTCCACTTGGTTGCTGCTAACCAGTTCGTTGGCAGCGCGGGGAATGATGGCGACCAGCAAGCGAACCAAAGCAGGTATATTGCCTCGCTGATCCCAAAGCGTCGGACCGAGAATGGGTGCGATCAGTGGGGTGTACTGTGGCGGCAACGGTTCGCTAGGTTCGGCTTCCAAAAGGGCACCCATCAGCTGAAAAGTATAAGGTATGAACTCTTCGACATTGTTGGCAAGGATGGCGGCGAATGGATTGAAGAGATGAGATGCCAAAGCACCCGCCTGTGCCGCGGGGGTGAATCGGATCAGTGCTCCCAAGCTCTCAAAGTGGTAGTAGTAAAACTTGGGGTTGCTTGGGTTGGTGGATATGATTGTTGTAATAGTGGTCAGATGTCGCAGGACACTGTCGGCTACTGCAGAAATGCCATCTCGGAGGACAACAAGAACCCTCATAATGCACCGCATGACGAACTCATTCTCTTGGACTTTCTGTGGTGCTTGATCTTTTTCGACCAAGCCGAATAGATGCTCCAGAAGATCACTTGCTAACGGTTTGATATGAGCCGGATCAATAACCGGACGCCCTGTCTCATCGGTCATGGCCAGGACTCTCTCAACTGCGACAGCCGCGTAGGTGTACACGCAATAGTTTGAGTTGCCGAGGTGGTTAACAAGCAAGGGCATGACTTGCTGCCACTGGTCTTTCGTAATGAT